TAATGTGCTGTCTCTCTTTGGCACCATTCCCTGAGATATCTATAATAACTTCAAGGGACTATTCCTCTCTTCCAAGCATTTACAGGAAAGTGTCCCAGATGCTCATCACTGGAAGACAGCAGAGAAGCTGAACCAGAGAACAAGCAATTTAAAAAGAAATGGTATAAAACTATTTGCACTATTTGTCTTTTAGAAACCAGGTTGCTTGTGCCTTTTGCAACGTGGCACAGGATGGATGCCTGGTGTGATATTTCACGCAGTGCCCTGAAGATATTGGAGTCTTATTTCCAATAACCACCACCAGCAGGACCAAGGCCGGCGTGCCCTGCGGTTTGGCTCTACTCGCAGTGAGGCATTGCAGAGCTTCCCCACAGAGGACATGACGCTCCTTAAAAAGTTCGGCTCGACTGTACCAACAACGAAGCAGAACATTACACAGAGCACTTGATTTTCTACAGTTGTTCAGTTGCTTGTAAGAAATGGAAAGGAAAAGCTGCTCTGTTATGACAGCTGCCTTTGTAGGGAAACTGGGTAGATTTTATGACCCTGTTACAAGCATTTTATTAGTTAATAATAATTTCTAAGTTCTTCTTTTGTTTCCATCTCATTTGAAAGTAAGATAATTTGGGGATAAATACCTACTTTTCAACCAACAGTCTTTCCATGGGTTCTTAATAAATCTTTAGAGGTGTTTTGATTCATGCACATGTGAATCCACCTGCCAGGGCTCTTGTAAACCATCACCTCCCTCTTCTGTCGCTGTCCTTTTGTACCTCTTCCTGCCCTGCACCATGTCTGCTCCAAAAGGGATACGGCCCTTTCCCATTGATGTGACAGCTCCTACCCCTGCCTCTCTCCTGACTTTAGTATCTTGATCCCCTGCCCTACTTCAGTCAGAAAACCAGGACTCCTTACCCTTAGATCCCATTTTGATTTTTATTTTTGCTGGAGTGTCACTTAACTGACTAGCAAGTGGTCATCTAGCAAAAAGTCAAAGGAGAGTTAATTTGGGAAAAAAAACCAACCCACAAATGTTAGATGTTTTTAAAATATTATTATTTTCTATGTTAACTATCTTCCTGGCTCTCATAATTAATAAATTTACAGCTCTCCACAAGACCACACTCCTTAGCACAGCAGGATCCTGATTTGATCCTAATTGTGACTGTTGGGCCTGAACACGCTGTTTATAAGCAAACCATACACATGCACACAGCAGCAAGTGTGTGTGAGCCTAAGACCAGTAACCGGATTATCTGGCAGCCGTCACCTTCCTGCCCCACGTCGTGTGAGACCTTGACTTACCTGCAAAGGGAGGGCAGGGGTGTGCGGGCACCAAACCTGCTTATGCACAAAACTTGGAGAGCTGAGAAGGCCAAGTTTGGCTGGGTTAAACTCAGGACAAAGCTAAGCAAAGCTCTGCAGGGCCTCAGTGGTGCCACTAGAGGCTGCCAGGCAGCTCCTGTCACCTGCAAATCCATTTTTGTAAGAGGGAAAGCCTCACCCAGGTCCCTGTGGACACGAGTGGGTGAAGGGTCCTCAAGTGGAGATGTCCCAAGGTGGCCAGATCCTGCACCACCAGCAGCCTGGCCGGAGCGGTGCAGAGCTCAGCAAGGCTGAGCTGCCCTTTCACGTCGCCCCTGAGGGCCCATCCTCTCTTTCTGCTGCTTCTTGGGAACCTTGGAAAGCAAAGCCAAGGCATCAAAATCGTCCACATGTTTGTCTTAAAGGCAAATTGCTTGATGCTCTCCCGCAGTCTCTGCCAGAAGGTTACAAGAATAAAGGCTCAGCTATGTTATAAATAGCTTGAAACCTTGTGTGTGAAGGTAGTTCTGGGGTAATTAGGGTATTTCTCTACTTTAAGAATCCTGTTGGGATTGACCTTAATGCTCCCTCATGCACAGATCCCTCATGTGACTCTAGTCATTATTTCATGGCAGGTTACTTGGCATAGCTGCAGACAGGGGCTAAAATCAATGTGCTCCTCTGCATTGTGGTGGTAGCCTGCAGTTAAGGCACACAGATGGATTCCAACCCTTTTTAATTTAGTGACCCCCTAAAGTTTTTCTAGTGGAAACACAGCCCCTTATACAAATTTTGCATATGTAGATTGCAAAAAATTATACAGACAATTACAACTGTGTCTTCCAGACCACTTAGTAATAGTCCATATAACCTTGAAAATTTGTGAGCTGCTGATTGAACTCCACTAGAAAATATTATGTTGTATGTTGGAAGTCCTCTAAAACCTTTGTGCTCTCCGTCCCAGAAGAATAGACAAGTTATCTCATAGACTTATGCAATTCTTCTTCTGCATCACAACTGAGGGCCCTAATGAGCTCAGTTGGCAATGCCCCTGGCCGAGTCTGCCAGAGGAAGAGCTAATGCTGTGCAAACCCCAGTGGGAATTGCAGCGAGATAAGTCAACATCATTTCATATCAGCTGGAATTCCTGCAATGTGTCGTTTCATTCTGATAATATTAGCCAGTCATTTTAGATTTTAACGGTCGCTTTCCCAATGGTGTGAAGGTGTAGGAGAGTGGAGTTCCCTCTCACTCACCAGCATATACGGGAAGGGAGCACAGCACCAGAAAGTTAATGCTTGCTAAGATCCTGCAGAAAAACAACCTGAATGAGATTTGAAGTTATTTATTAAAATACATGCTTTTGGTCTTCTTCCATTAAACAAGACACTTGTGTATAGGATGACCTATTCTGTGTCCCATAGTACTATAGAATTCAGCAGTTCCAGTGCTTATGGAAGATGTGCAAAATGGTGGATGCACAGCAAACTAACTATCACCTCCTCCAGAGCCATCAGCAACAGCCTCCATTCTCTATCAAGCTGGCTGGATTTAAAGAAGTGATAAAGTGCAGGGTTTTTCTCTAGCCTCTGAGCAATCTTCGATTTTTTAGGTTTGTATTTGTGTCTGCAGGTAGCATCTGATCCATAAGACAAGTTAACTGAAAGCCTACTTTAATCATAAAATGTGGGAAATAGCTGGAGGGTGAAATATCAGGCTGGGATTATGAGACTAAAGCTGTGTTTTATAAAGGAAAACCTTGTGCCTGGAAATTTTCCTTGTAATGTTGCAAGAGCTGGAGGCGTTGAATTAATTCCCAATACATCTGAGTTCTAATTATCCAAATAGATTGGGGGGACCCAGTAGCGATACATCCCCCACTAAAGCTCACAAAGCCACTTCAAAGCAGCGTGTCGGTGTTCCCTGAGATGCTGTTGTGTGTGCAGCCACTGCTGGTGGTGCCTCAGTCAATGTAGTCTCATACCTCAATGACATATGGTTTGGTTATATTGCTTTTAAATAAAAATGGGACATAGACTTACTTAGATAATGCAAGTAGGAAAGCATAACTCACGCTGAGATAATGGGGAGTGGAGTACAAAAAGAAACCAGAAAATGGACATTTCTGCAGAGGGGCTTGCAATCTCTAGCAGAATTTCCATGTATTTTGAAGGCGCTACATTCCCCAAAGGACAAAGCCAATAGTTTATGATCTGAGGGTTTATCTGTGGTTTACTGATGGCATCTCCATTTTTCTCCTTTCACCTCTTGTGCTCCTATGAGTAAAAGTCCAGGGGAGAAAGCAGAGCACAGCCGTCAGAAGGGTTTACAGGTTATTGGTGTCGGATGCACACTCAGGTGTCAGAGGAACCAATATTCCTGCCAGCAGGGCAGAGGGAAAATGCAGAGAGGGGTTGCTGGTACATAGGTGGAAAAGGAAAGAGAAACCACAGGATGGCAACACACAGGCAGGTCTGTGGTGGGAGTTGCTCACTGACTGCACTTTGGGGCTAAAATCCCAGGGCCTCTGATATTTAACATGACATTATTACTAAAATAATCAGTCAGTGACAGACTTGAAAGATTTAATTCAGGGTAGAGCCTAGAGACTGGCTCATATAACCACATGTATTTTGTTTTATTAGCAGCTTTCTGCTTGGAGAGCAATCATAATGGTCTCCTTCCTTAAAATGCATTAATTGTCTCCCAGACAGGTTGTCCAAGAAGAGTCACGGTCTGGTGGGTCGCTCTGGCATATTTACCGCGAACATATCTGAAATTGGGGCAGAGCAATGCTTTCTGCCAAGATGAGCATTGCGTCCACAGCCAGACTGCCCATGCAAATCCTTTCATTACTCAAAGAAAGGCTGTGGCAGCAACAGAGGTCTGAAGGCAAGCTGCCCTGCTGACGTCTTCAGTGCAGGACACGTCCAAATTGAGCTTAAGGTTATCACAGGCATTTATTTTAAATTGACAGAATAGGGTGTGGTATTCTGGGCCATGGGTGGAACGTGGATTTTTGGGTGTTTTCATGCTTTATGATTGGAAATACTTAAAAAGCAGTTTCTGTTTTTCAGAAGAATAGCTATGTCATCTTCCTGTGAATAACACAGGGTGTTCACATCTCCATGGCAATTGGATGTGATAAAATAAACAGATGTTCTGAGGTTCTTCTACAAGAAGAGTCCTGTAAAGGTTTAAGGTTTAGTGCTCCTAATGAACATATATCCCTTTGCTTTCAAATTTCTCAAAAATAACAGGGTCTGTGAGGGGGTAAACTACAACTTATGAGAGAAGCAAATACAGATCTGAAGAGAATTATGGCTGGAAAAATTTTCATTAACTTTGTTTTTAAAATATTGGAGAAGATTTTAGGAATAAATCACTTGACTCAACATGCCTACCCTTTATTTCCATCTGTTCTAATCCTGTCTTCAGCTTTAATTTTGTATCCTAATTCCTTTCCTCTTTCAGAAATGAACAGAGGTATCTCCTAAATTCCTCGGTCTCAAGCCCTTGCTCTCTGCAGGCTGCAGTACAGCAGGCCCTCCAGGAAGAATACTTATGCTAAATACCCTCCTGCCTAACACAAGCATGTTATATGGCTTTTTACCAGCGTGTTTTCATGAACACGCACACACATATATATACATACCCCACACACAATTTCAGGAAGCCATAAGAGACCACAGCAGTCAAATGAATTTGAGCCTTTATTTGAACAAATGTCAGAATTTGTTGACCTTCCCGGCGCAGCTGCAGAGCCCTTCTGCCCGAGCCAGCTCCTGTGGGGCTCGGGGCAGCCCAGGGGGACTTTTGGGTCTGGGAAGGTGCTGTGGAGGTTTTGGGTTGCATTTGCTACATGGCTAGCGGTGATGAAGAGGAGGGGAGTGCTGCTGTCCAAGCCAGTTTGTTATTGTAGATATTTCACTGGTGACTAAAAGCCCAATACGAGAGTGTAGCTGCTTAGTGCTCAGTACTGTGTATGGCCTCACACATGCTGCTTTTCTAAAAGCATGCTGTAAACAGACAAAGCAAGGAGTGGAAGGGGAGCATGGGGCAGTGGGTTCCCACCCCACCTGGCAGGTCTCTGGATGCGCTGGAGCAGCACCAAAACCTCCCAATTCTCAGCCCAGCATCTCAGCCACATCATTTCTTATCTTTTTTTTTTTTTTTTTTGCATTCTTAAATGCATTTGATGGACTGCAGTTGCTGGAATGCCCCAGACCTTGTGAGAGGCTCTCAGATGTGCAGCTGAGGATTGAAGTGTAAATAGAAAGTCTTTTGGAGAGCTAGTCCAGCTCCAGTGATAAGCCTGAGGGAAGAACGGTTCAGTCTGTTCTGCACATCCCAGCCAAAGCAACTGCTGACACATGGGGCATCCTGTAGTTTTGGGAGTTGTCAAATTTGCTCTCACTTCATATAAACTGTAGAGAAGAGAGAATTTTATCCTCAGAGCACAATAGAGAGAGGTATTGAAAGTATATTCACCACACTTTCCATCTTTACAGTACCTTTTAATTTCAAATGCATTGTTCCAAGCTGTTTTTACTGAAATAATTATAAGGTGTTGGAGTTTATCGTCTTCCTGGATGACAGCCGTACCTGGAAAAAAGCAATGAATAAAAGCCACGTTAGCAGTTAGCCCTGGGCTGGTTCCCACTGTGAGCCAAGCCCGCTGCTCCGGCGCTCAGCTGTTTGCGTTTGGCAGTCCATTTATTTAAAAGCTGTTAAAATACCCAAACATTTTTTCCCTAGGAATTCAATGAAATTAAATGTAATTAATTTCCGCATTACTAGCAAGCAGTTAGATTATTTTTGTTCCACATTAGCTAATAAAGCTCTCAAGATGGAAAGCTGTTTTCCTGACACAATGAAGCAATAATAATATTTGCTCTTAAAACATCAGCATTCATCTGAGAGTCACAAAACATTTTGCAAAAGTGAATGAATGTAAGAGTTGTATATATATATATACACATATATATATATATCAAAATATACATATGGGCCATCTGTCACTGGCATTTCTGTCACAATCTCTTGTCTCTAACTGCAGTCACAGCTGGTTCCGGCTGGGGTGAAAGCTGACCCTCACCAAGGAAATGTGTTAACTTCCAGACCTCTGAATTCTTTAGAGGTGGTTTAAAAAGTTTGAAAACACCCATTCGGTCTCTTTTCCCCTTTCTCTCCATAAAAGAGCAAAGACTGGGAATTTTTGGATTATGCTTTTTGCTAAAAAATCCCAATTGAGCAAACAAAACCCCTTGGCTCAAGTTGACTGGAAGATTTATTAGGGTGAGTTGGGGGAGCTAATTTTCTTGAATGGTTTCAATTTCATTTCTAAGCTGAAAGAAAATAAATTTTGAAATCTCCATTATTTTTTTTTTTTTATTAAATGTAGTGCTGTTTCCTAGCCAACCCTAAATCTAAAAAAACTCAAACAAAAACTAACATGATCCAATCTTGGGTGCCAAGGAAAATCCTTTCTGACCTGGGTAAGAGATCCAGTATGCTCCAGGAAGGCGCAGGAGTACAGGGAAAGGTTAGGGCAGGATTTCTGGAGAGGTTTTTTTGTCTCCATGAAAATCTGATGGGAGGCCCATCAGCCCTGGATCTCTTCCCTTAAAAAACAGTAATTCAGGCTCTCAGTCCCTGGCCAAGTGCCTGTCCCTTCAGCAAGCCCTTTGGTCTCTGTCCTCTGTGTCAAGGGACTGGTTCCCTCTTGGTTGTCTGAGCAGTTAATGGCCAAGCCTCTTCCCACAGGCTTGGGAGATTTATCTTCTCCTGCATTTACCCTCGCACTCCTCACCTCTCTGTCCTCTCCCCCGGCACTGGCTGAGCCTGGCTTGGCCTCTCTTTTTCAAACTTCTGAAATGTTCCTTCTGCTCAAGCACATGAGAAATGTGACCACACACACTGAGAAACAGTCTGCCTTGACTCGTTCCCGTGGAGGCAGATTTGCTGGGGAGGGTGGCAGTGCATAGATTTTTTCAGTCTGAAGCCAGAGAGCATCAGTCTCATTTGCTGTATGATGTTTCTAAGGGAAAGTTGCATGATTCTGACTGATGTCAATTGATAAAGCGTAGCACTCTAATAGAAAACTGTTTCCAGTTGCTTTCCAACAAGTGAAATGAATCGAACCCAAACCAGCCCATATTACCCATATTCACCCATCCGTGAGCAGATGAAGTTGCATAACAGAGCATTCAATGCCGAGCAGCTTCTAGAGTGAGAAGATAAGGGGATATATCATATTTAATTACGAAACCAGCAGAGTCAGTTCAGAGATTTAGACTTATGAGCAGCTGTGAGGGTGGAAATAAAACAGAACTCTTTCAAAATATACTTTAAGATCCTTTGCCAAACATCTATTCTTATTCACCTTTCAACGAACACTAGCTTTTTTAATTAAAAAGGGAGCAAATTCCATTATTATGAACTGCTGTCAGTAGGAGAAGAAACATCTGTCCTGTGTTAACTAAACTTTTAGAAGGATTTTATTTTCCCAAAATGCCTCCTTTTTATAGGCTTTGGCTTTATTAATACTATAAATGCAACAAATTGTATCAATTTAAATATCCACCACATTTTATTCAAAATGGGCAGTACACCTGGCTTTTAATAACCATGGATGTAAGCCATGGAAGATAAATCTTTATGAAATGCAGTGAAATTTTTATGAAATGCAGTGCAGTCACTGGAAGTTTTGTCGTTAACTTTGCTAGAGTCAGCTTTTCCCTTCTATTCACTTTCAACTCTCATTTCTTTCTCCAAACATGAGGACAATATCTGTCCCCTGCTGCCACCTGAACCTAAACCAGGCTGGCCAGGCCATCCCTTCCTTTCCATCCACAGGTTTATCAGCTTCCCCAGACCTGCACCACCACTATCTACTTTCCTTCCTGTTGCTTTGCTGAAGGCAAGTGCAACCCAAAGCAGTCTTCAGGTCACTTGCCTGGGATGCAGCCAGCTTAAATACAACCAGGTCTCAGGTCTGAAGCTACAGCTGCACCCTGCAGAGACCAGCATCACCATTTTGGTGTCTAAGCAACATAAATTAGGCTGCCTGGAGCTTGCTAGGAACACAGACACTGATTTACTGAGGTGGGCAGGAGGACCTCAAGCTGTACCACAGCATCAGCTGGTGCAGGATGCGTTCCCCCATCCCTTGGCAGAATCATGGCCCCCACCACTCCCTCCCTTGGATCCTCCCTCCCATCCTTCTCCCCTGCAGCCAACTGTTTCCAGTACAAGAGCTGACTCACCCTGAGCTGCCTGGACTATCTGTAGTGGATGCTGCATGGTATAAACTTGATAGATATTAGCTATCCTTCTTGGACTTACTCATAGCTTCCAGCAATGCTGGTTTTATCAAACTGCAGTAGGTAAAAAGAGCTCTTTTCCTTCTGCAGGAGCTCAGCAGTCATCACCTTCCAGGGCATGTCCTAAAATGGATAAAAAGGCATGCATCATCACTAAGAAAGCAGAGGTTATAAATATTGGCTGGGTTGGAAAACAAGTGGTTCTTTTGTGTCTGATCCCCATTCTTCAGTGCTTGGTACAGCAACAGAAAATGATCTGAACGACTCCCATCATCAGTAAAGATGCTCGTCATCTGGAGTCTGGGAGAAGCTTCAGACATTCTGAATAGCAGCACATGTTGCTACATATGCACAAAATGCCTGGCTTGGATATTTTATTTAGCTTGGTTTGTTTTCCAGTTTCCACTTCAGGTCTTGGAACTGGCCTGTTTTTCACACCTGAGGCTCACAAAAGGTCTGTAGATCAGTGCTAGACACGAGGGAAAGGGGCAGGAGATGGCTGGCAGGGAAAGCAATGCCTCCAGAGTCCAAAAATGTAATTATTTATGTACCCAAAATGTCACTGGCCAGAGCAGCGATTGGAACAACAGACCAGAGCACTGAGAGCTGTTTCATGTTGAGGGAATGAGACCCCTTCAACAAGCATTGCACTCACGGGTGGAATTTCTAAAGTAAATGGAGCCACTGCTCTGCCTTGTGTCCCAGGGCCCTGACCCAGAGCCCGCTGCAGCCAAAGGGAGTCTTTCCATCAACTTAAACACATTTGGGATGGAATCTGAGGTACAGAAACACTAGATCTTGTGCACAGAAAAATAATTAGAAAAATTCTGTTGGCTGCAGTTGTTACCATCTTGCATATTTGTGGATTTGTCTGGCCGGACACATGGTTAGAAGAAAGAATTAGGACTCCACACATATCCCCTTAGAGAATTAACTTCCCTTATTCCCATCTGACCAAACCACCAGCCCCAACAAACATCTTGACACCAGACTCTTCTAAGGTATTTTCTAATCTGCAATGGAAATGAGACTAAAAGGGCCAAATTCCATTGCTAAACTGGTCAGGGTGGACTGTGCATAAATCAGGGGCAAAAATCTGTTTGAGGAACTCTCAATAAATTCATCTTGCCTACAAAAATCTTTTAGCTGCAGATACATTCAGCCGGTTGGGGCTTAGGAGGCTGGGATCTTCACTCCAGTTTGGCCATGGGCCCACTGGGTGATCTGGGCAAATCACCTTTGTTCTGTGTGGCTCATTGGAGGCACTGGAATTACTCTGCAATTAGATGTTCCTGGCAGTCCAGATGCTTCACAGCTATTGGGTTTTTTTCCTTCACACTCCTGGGCAGTCTACAGAGAAATCTTGCATAACAGAAACTCTGGAGGCACAGTCAAATCAGAAGTAAATCCTGATGTTGGAATGTCTCCAAGCCTTTCCTCCAAACCTGATACTTCTGGTGACAGATCTTTTGCTCATGCCCAGTTTTACGCCCACTTAACCTGCTTTTATACATCTATCGGGAGAAATGGTTTCTTGCTGAAAAAAAAAAGGTTCATATATGATGAAATAATGACGGTGCTGGTGAAGCAGCCCTTAGTCAGAGTCCTGAACTGTAGTACTTTGTTACTCATAGGGAGTACAGCCTTACTTTTGTCGGTACACTTCCTTGCTTAGGATCAAGCTGAACAACTACGCAGGCAGCATATCTTCACTGAGATTAACAGAGGTTCACCTGTTTGTGCTAGACGAGGGTTTGCCCCAGTATTTACGTGTCTGGTAAAGATCCAGTTTCATTTTTTTTACTTTAGGCTTTGGCAAATGACAGTCAGGAGAAACATTAATCTGAAATGTGTATACTAGAATTTTGATTGCCTTGAGCCAATGAGAAGCTGTGATTAATTTTAATCCTTTAAATGTTCAAATGCAAATCCAGAAATCTGAATTAATATATTTTGCTGGCATCACTAAAGGATTGTGAAACAGGAAATTAAGAGCACAATAACTTAAACAAAAGCTTATGAAGAAATAATAGCAGTGGAATGGGTAATGAGTCAGAGTGAAGGTTGGGCTGTTCAGAAAAGCCTCTAAGAACTGGGTACCAGTTTGGTGGGTTTTGGGGATCTATTGCCCCTTAAACTTCTGGAAAATCCCAGCCTAAAGGATTTGTTAACATTTTATTGCACGTTTATATCTTCATAGTAAAAATTCTTAATAAAATTAGCTTTCCTCTGACCTTGTGCTGAGTCCCAGTTAGAGCCTTTGCCTGTGGGTTTTCCTGG